TGTCTGGAGCTCTCTTCGATTTCGGCCTGTATTTCTTCCACAACGCCAAGGAATTGATTTCAAGAGGAACTGGTCCTTACTTTTACTTGCCGAAAATGGAGTCGCATCTCGAGGCCAGGTTGTGGAACGACGTTTTCAACATGGCTCAAGATTACATCGGCATTCCCCGGGGAACAATCAGAGCCACTGTTTTAATTGAGACTATCAGTGCGGCTTTTGAGATGGATGAGGTTTGTCGTCCTCCAAGAGCGGCTTTCGACTTTTTTGCTAACTTTGTTTCTCAAGATCATCTACGAGCTTAGAGACCACAGCTCCGGTCTCAACTGCGGCAGATGGGATTACATCTTCACATTCATCAAGCGCTTCCGTAACCGGCCCGGCTTCATCCTCCCTGATCGCGCCGACGTCACCATGACCGTTCCTTTCATGGACGCCTACGTCAAGCTCCTTATCAGTACATGTCACCGTCGCGGCGTTCACGCAATGGGCGGCATGGCTGCCCTCATTCCGCGCAAGGACGACCCCGCTGCCAATGCCAAGGCGATGGAGAGCGTCCGCGCGGACAAGCTTCGCGAAGTCAAGGCCGGGCACGACGGTACCTGGGTTGCGCACCCCGCGCTTGCATCTATCGCGAGCGAAGTCTTCAACGAGCACATGCCCACGGCCAACCAGATCTTCGTCAGGCCAGAGGTGAACGTTACGAGGGACGACTTGCTTAACCCCGTTGTTCCGGGCAAGATCACGGATGACGGTGTGAAGAAGAACTTGCATATTTGTCTGGCTTACATGGAGGGTTGGCTGCGTGGTGTTGGCTGCAGCGCCATCAACTACTTGATGGTAAGTAATCCTATACTCGAGAGATTCATGGATAGGTGGCTAATCATGCTGCAGGAGGACGCTGCTACTGCCGAAGTGTCCCGAACACAATTGTGGCAATGGGTCAAGCACGGCGTGAGCACCGCTGAAGGAACCAAGCTCGACAAGACCTACGTGCTCGGCACCCTCGACCAACTCACAAAAGAGCTGGCTGCTTCTGCTCCTGCGAACAACAAGTTTGAGCTCGCTGCCAAGTACTTGAGGCCGCAAGTGACAGGCGAGGATTATGCCAGTTTTGTCACAACGTAAGTGTTCCTCGTTATTCTCGTATCAAAAATCAATTGCTAATTGCTTTTCCATAGTCTTCTGTACGATGAGATTACCTCAATCTCTCCCTCGGGAAAGTTGTAAAAGGGATCGTGTGGACTTTAACTAGAGCGTCGCAAAATGAGATGAGCAGGGATCAAGCTGTTGATGGTCGCAGAGAGATTGAAGTCTTCTAGCATAGATAAACTTATGAAATAATGTCACGATACGCTGCAGTCTGCTACTGCAAAAACAACTTCAGGCGTCCAAAAAAGCAGAATATCGACGTTGGCCTGATTCGAACAGACGCTCCCGAAGGAACAAGATTTCTAGTCTTGCGCATTAGACCACTCTGCCACAACGCCGCTTTGAGGAATCCACTCATGAGTGGGTATGCTGACAAGTGGCCTCCACAGGACCATGACTGCCAGCAGCGAGATGCGGGTCCTGTGACTGGCCTGACGATTTTCTGCGGCCTCACTGTCTGTCGACTTCGCATGAGTTCTTCTTGTTGAATCGACCGGCTTCCAGGTATCGGGCAAGTTAGTTTGACTCGTTTCCATGAAAGCTCGTCTTGATTCTACTGTCAGCAGCTCATTGAAGTACTGGGATGCGGAGGCGATAGACAACAGTAGGTTAGGGTGCCGGCCAAGCTCTGACTGATGTTGGATGAGAAAAGCCACAAGTGCAAGCTATCAACAAAAGACAATTCTTGAAAGTTGAAAAATGTGATGTGAAATTACGAGGATAGACGACAATATGAAGTTCATGATGAGGTAATTTCCGCAAGCCATCGCGAGAGTTTGAGACGCGGTCACGTGCCGCCCCTGACGCCCAGACCAATATGCATTCGCGTCAGCTGAATCTGGGGTTAGCGAGCGCGTCTGGACGCTACACCCTTGTCATCAACGCTCAACATCTTTATCGGCCAACAGTCTGTTGCACATAAGCTCCTTTGAGACTCCCAGAACTATGCGGATATGGCGGCCGAATTGAGAAGCGAGCTCGAGTACCGCCGCAACTTTGAGATGCAATGTCGCGTCGAGGGATTCGAGTATGTAGACGGTACGCTGTTGTTCGAAGGGATCGCTCGCGTCGATGGGGCCCGGCTGCGCGAGCTCTGTTTCCCCGATGACATTGAGGATCCCGACAAGAGGAGGTCAAAAATCGCTGAAGCCAGAAAGCTTTTCAAGAAGAAGGAGTGGTTCAAAGCGCAGTCAATGTTCTATGATCTGCGACTCACGCATATGAAGATGAAGACGCTTAGCGGCCTACGCTACGACCTTTGTGAGATGGTGAAGATGGGCCTAGTAAGTGAAGCGGGAAGATGGGGGCATTGATGGCACCCGTGAGCGATACTGACTCCATGCAGTGCGACAAACTTGCCAAACGTGCAGATGTGATCGATTCGGCATTCGCAGATGCCGAGCGGATGCGTCGGGAAAAGGAGTCAATATTCCTCGAATTCAGTGATCCTACCATCAAGGCGGCTTGGGACATTCATCTCTTCAAAGAACACTTTTTTCTAAAGGATGGAGAGCCAGATCCAAATGTCACGCCTGAGCCTATTGTTCTTCACGATATTGATCCTCAACTGATGTTCGAGATTCCCTCCATAGTAGAGGAGATCGATGGACTTTACCTAGCTCCGGGACTCCTCAACGGAAAGCCCTTCGCCGTTATTGGCTGGGACAGGGAGGAAGTGAAGAACACCGGTCTGGCACAGAACGCAAAGTTTCAGTCTGGTCCTACCATTTTTTCCAAGTATGTTCCCTCAAAGAAGCCATGGCAGCAAGCCATGGACGACCACCACAAATACCTCTCAGAATCCGCTGAAACTTCTGAGGCGAGACTTCAGGCGGAGGACATTCTGGAGTTTACGCCGAAGGAGATGCTTCTCGAAGACGCCATCGGATCATACGTCGTCAAGTGCCCTCAACTACAGATGAAGTATGCGATGTATGGCGCCGTGTTTCATTTGAACATCCAGGACCATCCCGGTATGGAAGGGAGGGATGGACTCCTTACTGCCAGCATGAGCTTCGGCGTCGTGAGCGGTATCATGCTCCTCTCTTTCTCCAAAGATACCCTGATTAAGGCTTCAAATGGGTGGGCGCAAGAATTTCTGGACGAAGATCAATATTCTGACGTCCCGCCATTGGAAAATATCGAGCCATATATAGTAGAACGACCGCTCGATCGGGATGATGATGACGATGCTGCACCTGAGCAACCGACGGGCAAGTCAAGAAAACGCTCCGCAGCTGCCCTTAGCAGCAAAACGTGGCGTCCTCAAACGCGCAAGAAGCGCAAGCCGAACTCGCGACAGACGTTTGAGGGGTGCCGACGGCTTTATTTTCTCTGGAAGGGTAAAGAGAAGCTCGGAGAAGAACCTGTGGAAAGCCACGGTTTCCTCGACTTCAATGCCACCTGCACTGGTTTTAAGGGGCTCACTTGGATAGACACATTCCAAGTCGAGAACCAGGAATGTGCGTTCCAGGGCTACAAGGTCATACCAAAGCCTCCACAGCCTGCTGATGAAGAATCAAACTTGGAAGATACAGAAAGCTCTAATAGCGACTCTGATGAGATACCGGAGAGCTTCTTGGTCAACTTTCTTCTAGAACGATGAGCGGGAAGAGACGACAAGATTGTAAAATACATAGCGGTAACCAAGAGGGAACACCTCAGTAGACTATCTTGCTGGTCACCATCGACTTATTTCTCGAGGCGCTCCGACAAGTGGCCAAAGGCCTTCTTTGGGTACCTTAGAGTGCGCCAAAGGTGAAGAATGTCGAGGAGATGTTGCGATTGCCGAGATCTTTTTTGGCAATACCAGCATAGCTCAAATAGGCTGATGTGGCACGGAAAGTCTAGCGAAGACATGACGTCTGTCGTTGTTGACTGGATTGCTCTCGGCTAGCTGCTACTATTACTTATACAGCGTCTCGACGCAGCTGGGTATTATTTAGCCCCTACAAATTTGATGTGCCCTCGTCCCTCACGCGACATGACGAGGAGAAGACGACAGTATGCCTGAAGAGAGCTTAGTGCTAAGCACTCGACCGATCATTCTAGACCTCAGTGGTGTTCACTACCTCAAAGTTGTTCCCGAAAGTAGGCGACTTCAAGAACGCGTAAGCCGGAGGTCAACCCTCAATACCTCAAGGGCCACCCTGTCAGCAGAGTAAATCTATAAAGACCGTGAAATTGAGGCGTTCGTGTTCCGACATGTAAGAATGGATAGGCACGAATGTTTGCATGTCGCCGGGGCAACACTTCATGCTCATGCCAATGTCTACATAGCGACCACCGCACCACGCCATGACTTCCACACGTTCTTCGCGACACGGAGGCTCAATTGAGAATGTTCCCCGGTGGCCAGTCTGATCAGTCGTGGATGAAGGACTTCAGAAATCTATGTCTCGTGCTTTCCCCAACTTGAAACCCACATGGGCGCTTGGCTGGACCATCCGGTTGCAGCCGCTGACTCTAGTTGCGTGCCGTCCTGCTGAACACAGGTGCGGGGTTGGTACAATCGGCAGTTGAGTAGTTAGGTCCATATACACGATTTCAGGCGCAGGAAAAGGCTGGCTGGCTGAATATATGGCAACTTTGACCATATCCGTCGAGGCCATACCAGCAGCCTGCACGCGTTGCGAGCCTCGGAACCGTCGAGAAGGGTGTTTACCCGCCCACGCTTAATTTCAGCTTAACGCCACTGCAAATGACACGGTGACAGCTGCAGACGACTTTGTAAAAATCCGCACTGCTCCAAAGACGATAAATAGTTGACTTTGACCCAGATATGATGCCCATGCTAGATACTGTGCACAAGTGCTTAAAGGCCCAGCCTTGCCTCGATCTGCGTCATCGCGATGTTTAAAAGATTGCTGTTGTACAGTCTGGGCTTTGCCCATCTTCCAGCTCTGCGCGCCGAGGCAACATTGCCACCGACGCTGGAGCTGCCCTGGGGAGTGTACGAAGGTCAACCTATGGCAGATGATCCAGATGTAGGTCACAGACAGACAGACAAGGACACGCCTGGTCCATTGTCAGAGCTTCTACTGACGGCTTGCACAGATTTATCTATTCGAGAACGTCCGTTTTGGTGCCAACCCCCCGCGTTTCGGCGCCCCAGCCTTCCCGACGTCAACAAGCACAGCCATCCAGCCTGTCAGCGACGGACACAACTGTATTCAGATTGACCCAAATGGTCTTCGTAACGCACCAGGTGGTCAAAACCCTGTCGATACCCCTGATGACCAGGTCACTCCGTAAGGCGAAGACTGTCTATTCCTCGACCTATACGTGCCCAAGACCGTGATTGACAACCCCCCGCCGAAGCCTTTGCCGGTGGTCGTATGGATCTATGGCGGCGCGTTCTCATTCGGCAGCAAGAACCAGATTGGTCCCTTGTACACCGGCCAGTCAGTCATCGCAGCGAGCAACTACCAGACAATATTCGTCGCTGGTAACTATCGTCTCGGTGCTTATGGCTGGCTCTCAGGGGACTTTATGCAGAAGAATGCTCAGCCAAACGCCTGACTGTACAACCAAGCTTTTCTGTTCGAATTGGTACAGAAGTATATTAACAAGGTGTCCGGCGATGCGTCTCAAGTCAGCGCCTGGGGCGAGTCGCCGGTGGTGGATATATTCTCCATCATCTTATTCGCGAAGACGGTGCTGTCGATCCCACGTTCAAGACCTTTGTTTTTCAGAGCCCAGCGTTTGAATGGGCCTGGGACAATAGCCCGATGGGCAAGTTGGACCAGGTCTATCAGAACTTCTCTAGTGTTGCCGGTTGTGGCTTTGCCTTCAATCTTACCTGTTTACAGGGGTCTACGAACCTAACAGCGGCGAACCAGGCGCTTTTCGACACTGTCAAGCAAACTGGTTTGTTCCCTGTTGGACCAGCCGTGGACGACCAGTGGATCACCACGATTCCAACTATTTCGTTCGCGAATGGTGAGTTATCAACATCTTCAACTGAAGATGGTATACGTTAGCTGACACCGAATCCTCAGGTAAATATTGGAAGTCCTCGATTCAGTCGACGATCATCTCGCACGTCCTGAACGAGACCGCTTCGTTCACACCGCCATTTGTGACCTCGTCCGACACATTCACCGAGTTCCTCGATGTCTTCCTCCCGGGAGCCGAGCTGGCGTCTCAACGACAAAAGATAGCTGCCCAATACCCTTGTACGGAAGCCCCCTACGATGGTGACTATAGACTCTGCATCGCAACCGTAATCCGCGACGCCAGCTTCACCTGCAACACCCGTGACTTGTACTCGGCGTTCCCGAGCATATCGCACATGATGCGATACGGGCTCCCGACTGCCTCATTAACCCGTCACGCGTCGGACTTGGTGCCCTTGTTCTCCAACTACTACAGCGAAGCTGAGGCCATCTTGGAGAAGAATAATGTTAGCGCCCTTGAGGCCAATGCCTATGCTTTCCTCCTCATCGATAGCGACCTAGCCGAGGCATACCAGACGTACTTCGCGTCGTTTGCGCTTTCGGGTGGAAACCCGAATACAATTCCGATGCCAGAGGTTTTGCTTCGGAAGCCGCCGGCCTGGACGGTGGCAGATGGTAGCGGAGACGAGCTGGCCAATGTGCTCACAATCGGGCCGCCGGACCTGGTGCACTCTGCGTTCGCGCTCGACGTTTTCGACGATCAGAATACAAAGTCGGCGTGTGACTTTTGGACTGAGATTGCCAAGGAAATTGTTGAAGCGCCGCAGGACGCGACAGATGTAGTCAGGGAAACAGCCAGGGGGGTAGGGTCTGACGAGCTGTGAATGACGCACGATGCGTGTTGAGATCAGTGCCTCTCTGCATATGAATGAAGACCATGTTGCGCGGCAAGCGGCTGTGTATGGAACTAGACAGAAAGGCAGCAAGGGGAACAGGCACGGATGTAGAAATACAGACAACTAGGCACCAGGCAAATGCCTAAGGTCAAAATAGATTCGCCACTGCGTCCTGAATGCATACCTATGTAGTTATGTCTTTAAAACCCACGCTGTATCTGACCGGTCAACTTCCTTAGCCTAATAGGCTTAATGAGTTCATCCGTTCCCGGATCATAGGCATTAGCTGCGTACGAGACTAAGGCGCGGGATAGCCGGGTAGGAGTGCTGACCTGTTGAGTACTTTCAGCAGGTAGTCAAATATGGACGGCATTCGCAGTGTGACAATGTCAGAATGAACAATCAGTTTCAACATTCTAGCAAGGATTCTGGGAAGGCGTTCCGAAAAAACAAGGAACATTGAGAATTTGGATCATGCAATCGGCGTTCTCACTGATACTGTGCCACTGATCCAGGAGAAAAAGAGGGACGCGAATGGGTCAAGCTATCTGGAAACGTTACTGGGCACCCATTCCGAACAACAGGGCAATGTAGGCGATCTCAATGCAGGCATTTTATCCAAGGATAGTGTACTGCAGTTGACGAGCAACAATGATTATGATCGCCGGCCTATGTAATCACCCTCACCCCAGGCTTACCTCAGTCATCGTTATACCAGATTGAAGCATACGTTGAAACTTTAGTGGCCAGTTGACGCAGCTGCATCTGAATAACAGAGTTCGGCGCCACCGCAAAGTTCGCATCTTGAGTCACGACATTAGCCATCAAGGTCCCAGGGCCAGTCTTCGGGTATATCAAGCTCTGTGAACGAACGGCCCAGATTACTTCACTCTTGAGATACAGCTGTCTCTTCACGAATAACTTCACTAAAGCTCCTTGGGGAGGTGGGCAGACACCATGCCTCCTAACGACGCCACCGAGACGGCACATGCTCTTTCCGACTTCAAGCCTTTCTCGAAATTCCCAAATTGTATCAAGTTCATGATATGGGAAGAATTCTACAGCCAGCCACGCTATTTCATGACATACCCGGTCTACCGGGGCAGGTCGCGGAAAGATGAGTTCGAGGTCCCGCTTGGATGGGCTCTCAGACCCAAGGGGCCGCAAACGTCCTACCAAAAGACGATCGACACGCAGATAGATCAGCTTTCTAGTTTCGTTGCAAGCCATGTTCGCCCAAAGTTCACCATCGAAATACCACTCAAGACTACCGACGATGGTCAACCACACAAACCCGCCAAATGCTGCTCCAAGAGAAAGTCGAGGGCGGCACATGTAAATATCAACTGGAACTTTGACTTTATCCATGTCAAAATGGCCATCCATGAGGAGTCACAAAACCTTATACCACAGGCCGAATGGTTCAGAAACATACGAAACATGGTCCTCGATCATGATCACATACAATCATACGCCTTCGGCGATATCACCACCGTCAGGATTCCATCTGTTGCATTTTGTCTTTGGGAAATGAAAGACCTGTTGGGTTCTCTTCGAAACTTAGCCCTTCAAAAGGTTCAGTGGCATCGAAAACGAGTCTTCGACACCCCGCTCTTGTGTTTCCAGATTCGATATCTTCTGCGTGAGGCACCGCTGAAACCGCCTCAGTGGAAAGACTTGCGAGTGAGCGTTGTTTCGCGGTCGCCATGGCTTGACATTGAACGGCACGGGGGGTTGGACGATGTTCAGTGGAAGCATTTCATTGAGAACGCACGTCCAGGAAATGAGCGATGGGCCAATGCACGGCGCGATGTTTTCACCGGGGACGAAATCACAGACACCAGGGTGGTGTTTTCAAATTTACTCTCGCCCAGTAGTCTCATGTCTACTAATTTGCCCGCTCCGTCGCTTCACGGACATTATCCCATGTTGCTAGAGCTCCAATTCTGGAACAATTATAACGAGCTAGTGGGCCAAGCTTTTAGATTGAGCAGTTAGGACAATTTTCGGCGGAACAGTAAAGGATTCTAGGCACAATGATTAGAGTCAAAAAGTGAACTCTAAGGGGATCTATGAAATCTATCAAGTCGTTCGGATGTGACGAGCTTGACACTAGCCATAAAGTTTGGAAGCTCGAAAGGGTCAGGCCAACAAAGTTCAACACCAGGTCCAGCCATACAAGCCCAATTGCAGAGTTTTTACCTTGAGTCATAATTCAACATCAGGGTGTGTGTTAGCATGTATAAAAGCTTCATATTCGAATAGTCTCAAGGCTTTAGTAACACGCATTTCTCCAAGTATGGTCATGCAAGAAACCGCTCGAGAATAGCAGCAAGCGCCATGTCTACCAGCAACGACCCCGAGGCGGCATTGAGCAGCTTCGAGCTTTTCCCGAAACTTCCCAATTGTCTCAAATTCATGATATGGGAGGAGTTTTACCTCGAGCCCAGATACTTTTTGGTCGATGGCAGCGGAAACAGCCACTTTGACACAGCTGTCGAATGGGTTATGAAACTCAGACCTTGCAAGAAGAAATACTTACTACGCCGCGATCGATACAGACATAGATCCTCTGGCTAGCAATGTTGCCCGAACAATACGACCAGAGCTAACCATCGAAGTCTCGAAAGGCTCTGCGAAAGCTGAGCATGTCAAAATCAACTGGAGAACAGATTTTGTTCATCTAAGATGGTGCAATGACGTGCATCAAAGATGCAAGGCCTTGCCAAATCTCGAATGGGTTGCCAAGGTACAAAACCTTGTGCTCGACGACACGATCGTGGGTCGAGATGAATTCGACGAATTCGATACCTCCACCGAGGAGATACACCGCATTGCAGTGTTGCTTTGGCACAGACGGGAGAGCTTCCTCTCTCTCCGAAATCTAATCCTACAAAGACCGCATGATCCGATAAAAGCAACGATCTTAGATTCTCTCTGCTTCCAAATGCGTTATCTCATACGTGAGGCGCCGAAAACACCACCGCATTGGAAGGACATGCAGGTCGAAGCTGGCTCACAATCACCATGGCTGGATATTGAGGGCCCGGGCTGAGCTCCTCCTCTTCAATGGCACAAATTAATCGAATCGTGGCGCCTCCACCCCGAAATTCGGCCGGTGCCAGTGTTTTTTGATCCGTCTTTTTCGCAGGGAATCTCGTCTTCCATAGCCACGGAAACGGACATGAAGCTAGGTGACTGGCTGGAGGAGAAACCATGGCCAATTGGACGGGGCGTGAACGAAGCCGAGGACTCCAGGACTGTATTCAAGAATTTGCTACTCCTTCGACCTCTTTCTGCAGATCCGTGGGACAATTATATCGCCGCAATCGATTCTGACGCATACTCGGCAAAATACAGAGCAATGGCTAAAAAGTTCTTTGGCGCAAGGGAAAGGGAGTAAAGACGAACATGCCATTTTCTAAGAGCATGATTCATTCATCGCCATTCCGTTCTTCAGATTTCGGTTTGCCGTATGGTTATGAATGGCTGGAAGCATCCAGAGAAAGTTCACAAGGCCCAAAACAGGGATGCAGGCATCGGCATCCCACAGTCATACGAATCCCAGACAGGATCTTCAACTGAAACCATTTCAAACTAGGGGGAAGATTCGCTTGTAAAATTATCTTGCTTTTGTATGACTGCGGTCTTTCTAGAATACATGCACTATTCAAACAAGGTCTTACGATGGCCACGTCAGGCTGCGCCAAGACTAAGGACGTCTTCGAGGCCTATAAAGGTGGACAGTTTACCACTTCAGAAGGGACAATGTCAATTACAAGAGACCATAATCATTGCTTTACTCTTTCTCTTCCGGCTTCTACAATTCCTGCTGCGCAGACGACCTGTTTCCATATATTTACTTTCCCGTCACTTCAACTAGTCCGAAACATGCAGCTCAGTATTACTGTTCTTGTCGCCGCTTTGGCCTGCAGAGCTTTTGCTGGCAGTAAGTTCTTCATAAAGCTCGATTGAAACGATTCACTGACACCTTGCCACAGAAAGCCCTATCGATGCCAGAAGAGCTGGAGGTACAGCCTCTGCGGCAAAGGATGGCAAGGCGTGCAAAACGAACCTCAACCAAATCTTGAACTCCGGCACTTGCGTCAACGGGAAATGCCAGATCATTATCCCACCTAATGAGACAGACAATGTGCGAAGCGCGGATTGCGAGTAATCGGGGCTCTCTCTGAAGAGAAATGCATGAAGGCATGGTAATATTTCCGTGGCCTATGAGGCTAGGTTGGAGCCGGTTTTGTCGTCATCGGGTCATCTAGACGAATGCCTATGAAATGGTCCTGCCATGAATACCATGCCATCAAATCAATACGGCTTGAAGTGAACATCTGATCAAGAGACACAAACAGTCCGGCTAAAGGACAGCTCCAAATGCCGTAAGCAGAGATAAATGCCAAGCCCATACAAAGTGTGCACCACTCCGGCTCAATCCCCATTCATATTAGGGGTAATACGAATTGGTCGAGACATGTACGCTCTTGGCTGCAACGTGACACTCGCTGACCCAATGAAGAACGAACTTCTGCTGTCAACCCCCAAAGCGACGCATCACCCCGCACTCGCTCGCGTGGTTTCTGCGGCTCATGCAAATTGGGCGTTGAATGCCGGGGCGTTCCCCGCATGGACTCGAGTTGAGCCTGTAGGGAGGTAGATGAGTCGTGGGATTGTGACGAATGAGGGCTGAAATGGTTGATGTTGTTCATGTGCCGAGCACATCTACTATGCGGCTATGGCCCAAGGGAAGAGGTTGAAGTGGTAGACGAAATAGGCTTCTTCCGAATGCCAAGCCCCTGTGCAGATCGCCGTTTCTCAGTGGGACTACTTTAGTACCCATGAGAAGATATTTAATGTTTAAGTGAAGTCGGGAAGCTGTGTTCAGTTAAAGTGCCCGGACGGCTTGAAGCTTTCCTTCGAACTTTAGTCTTCATTGAGCTTCGCTAGTCTTGTCAAGTTACGCCACGATGCTTTCT